TCTCTCTCTCTCTCTCTCTCTCTCTCTCTCTCTCTCTCTCTCTCTCTCTCTCTCTCTCTCTCTCTCTCTCTCTCTCTCTCTCTGTGTGTATGTACGCCAGGAACTAACCAACAGAAAGGTGTCGCCTTGATTCAGGTACGGACGGGCTGACGACGGAGCTGGAGCTGTGACGCCACAGTTAAGTCGCAGATAAGTCCCTCCTGACCTCCGCCCATGAAGTGTTGAAGATTGGGGATCCTGACAAGCTGTTCATTGTCACAACTGACGCTAGCCAGTATGGTATAATAGGCACAGTTTTACAGCAACACAAGGGGAAAAAGTTGAGGCTTGTGGAGCACATGTCTAAAAAGATGTCATCAAAGAGGTTATAGCTAACTCTACCTATGAGCGGGAACTGTATGCCCTATGCATGGCATTTTGAACATTGGAAGCATTACGTCCGTGGCAGACGTTTTGAAGGTCGGTCTAACCATGAGACACTCCAATTGATCAAGAGTCAAGACACAGTCCACACTGTTTGACCCACTGAAGAGATATGGATACAAGTCATAGATGTGCATGACTTTCGCCTTCGCTATGTTAGGGGACAGTCTAATGTGGTCGCTGGCGCTCTATCCAAGAGGGCATACTTTCTTCGGGCGCTAACAACTGCAAAGACAAACCTAGCGATTCGGATGTTTATGAACCACTGGGTGAGGGACTTTGGATTGCCCAAAACAATCGGCAGCAACGGAGATGTACGCTTTACAAGTGTGTTGTGGAAGAAGATTGCACAGCAGATGGGATCTGAACTCCAGATGACATCTGGTAATCATCCAGAAACAAACGGTCAGGCTGAACAGATGAACCGTGCGGTACAGCATTTGCTTAGGCACTACATTAAGCCACTCTTCCCCAGTCTACAGAACAAAGTTGTTGTTGATAATAGTACCGCAAGAACTCCGAATCAGCCACACTTGGGGTGGAAAGCTAGGACATCACTGCATTTTCTACTGCCTGAGACTCAACTCACTGCAGCACCCGATGGTATGGAGTATGGAATAGAATATGGAGCAGACGGTGGAGCAGATACAAAAATCTCTCAAGGTACTATCATAGCATTTGAGAACAAGCACGAGTTGCAGTCTGATTTTCAGGTCGGGGATAAAGTTTGGGTACGGTCTTCTGAGTTCACACCGGAACAGAATGTCTCGCGGAAACTGACTCCACAATATTTTGCGTCGTGGCATGTCTTAGACATTGTTCGATCTGATCCTGACGGCCCTTCTTACTTCATTTGTGTTCCACCTCACTGACACACATACCCTGTCTTCCACACCTCAAACCTCCTACCTTTCTCTGCAAATGATCAGTTTACTTCCTGGAGATCAATGCTGCCCCCAACCATGGATGGATATCTCGACATCGATCAGATTGTTGAGCACTGAACGATGCCTGTTCCAAAGCCAGATGGCAGAGGCAGACGACCTAAAACCGCAGATGCGCTCAAAGCTGCCTTCAGACAGCATCCGAAAGAAGATCGGTGATTGTGTCCAACTACGAAAGGACTTTGAAAGGGAAGCAGCAAGTGGACTGAAAGTTTGTCTCGGGACTTCCGAAACGGAGGGGGAGGGAGTGCAAGGAACGAGCGCCTCGACAATGTTGACAACAAAAAACCCTGTCTTCCCTAAGTGAAGGCGGGCCTGTAAATTTTTGCCTTGGCCTGAGATGAGGCCTATGAGAACTGAAATTGGGGCCACTTGGGATGTTGCTGCACGCAGCATCTTCAACCAAGTGCCAGGGCCCAACCACCGGGTGGTTGAAGATGGTGAGTCCCAGGGCTCAGGCAGCTAGGCCCAGGGCAGATTCTAGAAGGGCCCAGGGCGCAGACGCTAAACTCTGAACCCTAAACCCTAAACCCT